TATGATCCTGACTCTGCATGTCTCTGTCTCCCCCTCTCTTTCTCTTTTTGTCTCTGCCTCCCCTGCTAGCTTTTCCAGTCTTTCCTCTTTTCTTTCCAGGTTTCTCCTTTTCCCTTCTTCCAGGTCTCTCTTCCCTCTCCTGAACCTGTCCTCCATTTCTTTCTCTCAGAAGTCCCACCTTCACATGGGCCCCTCCGGAGAAGAGTGATACCCCAGGACAGCTTCCTGGGGGTGCATCATCCTCCCTTGGGGACCTCCCCCCAAAACCAAGGCACCCCTACTGCTCCCCCAAGGAGACCTCTCCCTGTGTTTTCTACTGGTCCCCAGGCCACTGGCCGTGGAATCCTGAAACACAAATGTTCTTAACAGTCTCTCTCTCTCCTCCCTGGAATCTGAGGCTGATGGCTTTCAATTCCGAAGAGGGAGTTGTTTGTCCCAGACGGTGCCCAGCTGAGAAAGCCCTCACCCAGCTGTAGGCCTTCTCTTTCCCCCTTTTTCTTCCTGCCCTTCTAAATGTTGCAAGATAGTAGGCCTGAGGGCTTGAGGTCCCCCCCCAAAGGGCTTTTCTAGGAAAACACAGCATTTTTAGCAGTGTGGAATTAGCAGGTCTGGCCATCGGGCCAATGGCAGGGTGGCTCTGGAGGGGAGGGTGGGAGCAGAGGTCTCCAGGAAGGACTGCTGCAGCCCTGAGTCTCCCTCCAGGCTCTTTCCTTTTCCTGATGGGGAAGTGAAAAGTTATTCCTCAATAGTTAAAAAGACCCTTTTTTCCCCCTGTGGTTAAGCACATGGCACTTTATGGCTGCTTTAAAATGAAGGGGTGAAAATTTTTCTTAACTTTGGCAGCATTGAAAACCAGAGCCATTATGTTTTCACAGAATCCAAGGTAGATGCCAGGAACTTTCTGGTCAGAGATTTCACTCTTCTGTGTTTTGGGGTGAGGAAAAGGGAAGCGAATCATAGAGTAAACCCTAGAGGCCTGGAAGGAACCTTCGGACCAGCTGGACCCACTCTCTCATTTTAAAGATAGGGAAACTGAGGCTAGAGAGCCCCTTCACAGCCAGGGGCAAAATTCAATGGGTTGAAACAATCTTTGTAGGTACGTTTTTATCCACGCGTGCATCGCAGGTGAGGGCTCAAGAGCTAGCAGCTTTCAAATGAGCGCGATCTCGATGCAAGCCAGTTCTGCCCGTTCTTTCTGCGTTTTCGAGCCTCGGTTTGCACATTGCCCCTTCGGTTAAATGGCCACGATGATCACTGTCTCTTGGGATTGTGGTGAGGACTGGATGAAATCATACGGTAGGCAGAACCGTACGAACCTGCCAGTCCTTGCCTATTTTTAACCTCTGAACCAGCTGTTTCATTTGGCCCATCTAAGGTCTCCGCTGCCTGTCGGCCAGTAGTAAGTGTTTGAGAAATGATAACTTAATTACTAGACATTCTCTAGCAAAGGCTGTGGAGGCAAAGACTGCAGACCCTTCCCGCTAACTTATCTTCCTCTCAGATTTGATGGTAACCCTTTGGGGGTGTCTGACTCTGCAGAACTTGGCCTGTGCTAGCCTGAGGGGTCGCACCATCGCCCCCCCAGAGTGTGTGACTTTTTCTTCCTTTCTCAGGCTTCCCACTGAGGGCTGGGATGCCTGTGGTGTAGACGGTCTAGACCGACCCTCTCTCCTCACTGTGACAAACCCAGGACCTTGCGCTGAGGGTGTTAGACATTTTCTTTCTGGAAGCTTCTAAGACCTTACTCCCACCTTTGTCTGGGTTAGGGTCAGGGTTAGGGTCAGGATTAGTGATGTGCGTGCCATGTGCCCAGCACCTCAGACTGGGAATGCCTCCAGCAGAGATGTGGCTGACTCCCCTGGTTCCCGGCCAGGGGTGCCCCCCTATGGGGTGCTCTCATCCACCTTTGGCACCTCCTTAAACTCAAGAAATCATCAGGAGCCTAGCAAGCAAGACAGGGTCAAGGGATTTCTAAGTAGCAAGAAGGGATTTGGGAGAATTCGAGAAGTGCCTTTAATGTTCCAATTGAATATCTGGTGTTTTGTTTTGTTTTGTTTTTAAATAGTGAGATTTCGGGAAGGGGATAGATTTTCTGACTGGAGCAGTGAACTGAATTTGGGTCCTGGTGTTGGGCAAGGTTACAAAAGAGACAGTTTTTCTCTAGGATGGTGGGGGCAGAGAGGTGGGCAGGTGGGCATGGTGCCAGGGAATTCTTTTAGAATGTCCTTGAGACAAGAGCTTTTCATTTTTCTCAAAGGGGAACAAAAGTAAAAAGCAAGTGCAAAATCCTTCCTCAGACTAGCTGAGTGCCTGAGACTCTCCAAGACAAGATGGTGGACTTTGGCCCCCTTTTACAAGAATGCTCCTTCTGAGTCCTGGAGAAAGAAAGTAGCAGTTCTGTGTGGAAATGGCCTTCTAACTCCCCTGGGTCTCCGGGCTCCTAGCAGGCCCTCTCCAGCTCGCCCTCACCACTCAGACCCTGAAAAGTCTGGCATAAGGAGCTGTGGGCAGGAGGGACTATAAATAGGAAACCACCACCTCCCAGACTGCCGGGCATGGTGCTGTGGGGCCAGACCCAGGGGCACTGCTACTGGGAGGCCCGAGGTGACTGGGCAAGGGCCCAGACACCATGCCCTCATCACCCTGGACAAAGACCAGCTTTCCTGAGTGTGCCCTGAGTGCCAAGGACTTTCCCTGCCTCCCCGACTCTGTCCTCTCCAGGGCTAGGGGAGTGGAACTGTCACCATCCCTTTCATAGACTGAGGCTGGAGGCTTAGAACAGTGTAGCCAGGGGCTACATTTAGGGGCAGAGGTCAGGAACCAGCAGAGGCAGGAACAGAATCCATGCAGGCCTGGCTCCAAGGTCAATGCTCTTGGCCGCAGGGGGAAGAGGGGAAATAGGGAAGCAGGAGCGAGGAGTCCCTGAGTTCCAGGCCGGGGTCCACCACCATCTAGCTGTGTGACTGACTGTGCAGGCCACCTGCCTTCTCTGGATCCCTGTGCTGTCATGGAATCCAGCCCATGTTGTGTTGCTGGATGATTACATGAGATGGAGGAGTCAGGGCTCTTAGAGCTGAGCCTGGCACAGCAGGAACAGCAGTGAGGAAAGGCATGAGCCCTGATCCTACCGGGGCCAGACCTCTTCCCAGCTCCCTACGTACCAGCTGGGTCCCATGGGCGAGTCGCTAAGCTTGGGCTCAGAGTCCAGCCACCTGGGTCTGAACCCTGGCACCTCTGCTTCCCAGTGGCTGGGCGCGTCATTCATCTGTCTGGACCTCACGTTGATAGCGCTTCCTTCATGGGCTGGCCATGTGGGTGAATTAGGTAACGCAGGTAAGAAATTGCCAACAGTCTCTGGGATGAGTGTTCAGTGTTTCATCCCTGAAAGAAAGAAGCCACCGTGACAAGTTCTTTTCCTGTCCTCAAATACTGAGTGGTGGTGGATGGCCTGATGTCACGATGAGGGGCTGAGAACACACTCATGTGTAGAGCTGTGACAGAAGGCAGCGCTAGACTTCT